AAAAAAAAAAAAAAAAAAAAAAAAAAAAAAAAAAAAAAAAAAAAAAAAAAAAAAAAAAAAAAAAAAAAAAAAAAAAAAAAAAAAAAACTAGAGCAGTTAAGGAAATTGCTCAACTAAGTGTGAAACTCAGGTTTGTCGAGACTGTGCCTTTGATCTCTATGCAGATCAAGGGTCGAATATGACCCCACGATTTTGACTGGGGTTGAAGTGATGAGCAACACTCCTTCAATCAGTATAAAGGAGGCAGTTGTCCCCCAGCTGCCTCACAAAGCACTCATGTTGCTAGTATGTGACAATACACTTGAGTGTTCGTGGTGCTGCCGACGGAGTTGTTGGAGGAGTGCTAGAGGACCCGGATATCTGCAGAGGAGAGGTTAGCGGAGGAGCAAAGCAGCCATAGCTAGGCAGAGGAGGCACTCTGCTCCACTTTCAGGCTAATGCTGACCCTCTTGATTACTCTTGGGTCCACTCTATTGGGCCAGTACTATACTTCAGGGCTTCGGAATGACATTTTGGACCTTGACTTTTTCCAGGTCCAAAGATTACGCATGGGAGTTGGTCAAGGCATAAATACTTCACTCAGGATGTGGGGGGTCTGTCGTGGAGGGGTGGTAGACCGATCTTCTGACGTATGAGTGTGCGTTACGCGGCTATGACGTGGAATGCAGCAAGGTCGCATGGCTTAGCAGATCCAATCATTCAATAAGTTTGTTAGTTCCACATTTTAGGAATCATGCATGAAAACAATACAGTTTAAATCAAGAGCAAAGAGAGAAAGATGAAGTATACCTTACGTTTACTCGTCATACATTGGTGGTTACCCAACCCATATCATGCGATAACATGCTAGAGTTGCATGATGTGAGCCTCAATAGAGTTTCCTCTTGAACCTTTTGAGGCGCAACTTAGGAACCTTGCACAAGGGTGGGCTTCATTCTTAGGAGGAAACTGAGTTTTTTTTGTCATGTAGAAGACAGGTAAAAATAACATGGGCATACTAACTCATCACGTCGAAGCCAAACAAGGTCGGTTTCATGGTTCCGCAATGTTTTCCCACGCAACACAGCTAAAGTCAATTTTCTGTTGTATTGATTTTTTTACAGTGATATCCGTTTCGACTGCGACAGTTGTAAGTCTATCTTCTTGTTGATATATGTTTTTCTACCGAGTCTCATTTTTTTTGCGGACTACTTTGGTTTAAGTGCTTAAGGGTTTAGGATCGATTGCAGGTATCACCCTTGGTTGAGATTGTCTTTGTCGACCGTTGTGCGCTTCGTACTAAGGAGATTAGCGCCCTAGGGAACGAACAGTGTCCGGGTTCATACAGCGTACTAACTGCATGTACTTATACGACACTGAAACGAACAAATGTCTTCGACCGACCTACCTTTGCGGTTGCATGTAAAAACTTTCGCGCTTAGAAGGAAAATCGTCGTTGAGGGGTTGGTAGGAGGAGGAGGAGCCGGAGTGCGAGTAGGTGAGAGTAGGTGGAGACTGTCAACCTCTTAAGCGGTTGATCCCTTCACTCAAAAGAACCAATCAACGGTAAAGCGAAATGGTTGTGAACCCATTGATCCGCTCCGCATGCAGCGAGAGACTTCACTTTCTCGCGTATTGTACAGTCGTTGCTCATGACTATGGTCTTCACACTCACTACCAAGTTTTGGCCATTCCGTGCCTTGAAGTTGTTGTTCTCGTGCAGCGCCACCACCACTAGTATCTTCCCCTGAACATAATACATCTGGGTAATAAATTCATACAAACAATTTTTCTGGTTAGGGTCAACCCAAATGCAGGTACGTTGTGTTCAAGGGAAGACAAGTAGTCAATCACTGCCAAGCAACCAGGGTACATTGTGGGCACACTTGAAAACGTGTTAAGTTGTGAGCGAGTAAAAATGTGGATCATGTTTCCTGTCAATTTCCTCTACTATCGGATGGAAACGTAATCCGCCAGATCAACCCTTCGAAAAAGAAAACGGACAATATTGCTAGACTACAAAGTCGCTCCGCTGGAGCAACCTTAAAAAAAAAAATTGTACGAAAAATAAACGGAGGATTACACAAAATTGAAATATGATTTTCCCATAGCGAAAAAATGATTTCCCATAGCATTCAACAAGCGGTAGCAAGTTTATGTAAAACTATAAGTTACACACGGTAACAGAAAAAAATTGAAGTTAGTCTGAAAATTTAACTTTTCATCGTAGTTTTAATTTATGATTTTTTTTGTTGCAATGACAATTATATGATATTTGATTGGGATATTATATGTTTTTCTTCAGTGAGCCAGTTCTTAAATCACTCAAGATTGGTTGTATGATTCAAATTTCACTTCACCCTCGTGTGAACCGACACTTTGCTTGATGTTATTCGTTTCAAAATAAAAAAAAAAAGGTAGAGGAATGTTCTATGAGTCCTGCTTGTGGAAGATTAAGTTTAACTTGGGTATGAGGTTTTATTGTATCCCTTTGAATCTATAGTTTGGCTTGGTGTGCAAGTAGGTAGAAGAGTGTTTGCAAAAGGAGATCGATTGTGGAATGATGAAAAATATTGAAGAGTGTTTGCAAAAGGAGATCGATTGTGAAATGATAAAAAAAATTGTCCCCTTCGACCTCTCACATGTCTGCATGTCAAAAAGACTTGTGTTTTTTAAAATTGGTAATTTAACAGACACCATAAAAGGAACTCAATTCAAACAATGAAGACGAGGTAAGTTTTTTCATGGTTACCCATTTTATATGGAACAACCTCATTTATCCATACATATTAAAACAATTTTTATTCTCTACCTTCTCTGACTCTTTTCGTTAAAGTTGCATTGAGCAAGAGAGGTTGGGAACAACTGAAGTTTACTCACGATAAAAGCGTTCCTCTCTCTATGAAGCATCTGGGGCAGGGTTTTGTTGCTGTAGGAGCTGACCTTGTTATCGACCCATAGTGAATCGTACTACGAGGGGGTATCTTGTTGTATTCGCAGTGCAACCAACCCCACTTATGCGATCCGATTCTAGTATTCGGATGAGGATGAGGGATACCCCAAACTACTTCCTAGAGGGTTGGGTGCATATTTGTTGAAGGGAGGTTTTAGTTTCCCGTTAATGTCGCGCAAAAGAGAGTTGGATTAATAACCACTAAAGATGGTCGTCTTACGTGCCATCGATGAGTGAAAGATTGACGCCTCCTCCAACTAAATGAAGAATTAGTCTCAAGGTGGACGCATATAAGCGCCACTCTCGTGAATGGGGTTCGCGCTACAAAAATTGTGGACCTGGGGTAGACAAAAGATAAGAGATGACGCTTATGTCTTAATGGTCAATTATAGCGATAACTTTCACTGCTAAACTCATCAAGTAAAAATCAAGATGGTCCGACTATCTTGTCGACTATCTTATAAAGTCCAACCTTGTGTAAACTTGATTTTTCGTACTCAAATTTATCGTGTTCGGTCGACATTATTTCGATTTCATGTCCTACCTTATGATATTTAAACGAGTATAGTTATCCTTTCGATTCTCACATCGAAATCATTTTACATTTATCCGGTTTGTCGTATATGGGTTATCTTTTACTACAAATGATTTCCTATAGGTTACGGTCGATCTGATATCATATACTTAGGTTCAAATATGACGATAATTTATTCTCTAAGTCACTAGTAAAAAAAACTACGATTATTTGTGGGTTTCACATTTGGTTGAAATCGTCCTAGTCGACAGACGTGCGCTTCGTACCAAGGAGATCAGCGCTCTAGGAGTTGAACGACGTCCGGGTTCAAACGACGTTTTAACCAAGCTTACATATACTGTAGGGTGTAGCGGACCCACCAGGTGTGGTGCTCCGCTAGTGACAGAGATGGAGATGGAGGAAGAAGGGGGAGCAAGATGGCACAACGCAGCTCCCCACGCAAGACTCCAACGCACGTACTCCAAAATGTGCAAGTGAGGAATGAGACTAAAAATAGACAATGGTTGGGGTATACCCCAGCGGACTGACGGACTGGACTGGACTGGCTGGTAGCGACAGGGGTACCAGCCTGGACTGCCCTACCTCGAATATAACACAGGCCTGTGAGAACAGGCCAAGGGGCTGGTCTCACAGGCCAACCCGAGGTCCGCTACACGATCCTCGGCCTGTGATGGATCGCCTAGATACAAACATGCTTCCGCCAAGAAGCGGAACTCTACCAAAGAAAAGAAAACCTGAGTAGTCTAGGATGCGGAGCAAGCTCCATGCTGAGTCCATGCGATGCAACCTAGGATATAAAATGTCACAAAACAGCAATGTCACAGCTAACAGCCTAAGTAAAAATAGTAGCAACTAACTAACATACATGTCCTAGGAAAGCAAAAAGTAGTGACAACTAAATCCTAGAATGCTGGAGGCACTAGCCTCAGTCTAGTAACAACTGACTAGTGTATAAGTCCTAAGAACAGCAAAAGCAGAACAGCTAAATCCTAGAAACATCGGAGGCAGTAGCCTCAGTCTGAGAGCAACAAAGCAATCAACAAGACAACCATATGTCACATGAGAAGTGTGTCGCACACCAAAGGGTGGGATGGTCTCTGAGGGTGGCGAATGCAGCCTAGGGGTCGAAAACTCCTAAGGGCATCCACACATAGTGACARGGGAAAACACATGTCATCAGGCTCAATGAGGGTAGGGAACTGGGAGCGAACAGAACCAATGACCCTAACAGATAGACCATCAGGGCGGGTAATGCTCGACTAAGGGGTGACCGCTATGGAGGGTCGACCATGCAAGGGAACAAGGGAGCCTGGTATACTGGACGCACCTAGATGAAGCATGCGGGGCTGCCTAACTAGGGCGTGAGGGCCAGCGAAGGGTAGAAAGATGATGGGTAAGGRAATCATGCAAATGAYTCCTAAAGTGAGGGAAGTCGGAGCTAGATCCGTAAGATGGGAAGCCAGGGCAACGCTACGGTCCCGATGCCTATGCGTATACCAAGGGAGAGCCCAACTCATAGGAACCCGGCTAAAGGGAGACCATCATGCGACACAAGCAGGATACTGTACAGGGTAGAGTGGTAAGAGAGTGGCGACGTCTGAAGTAGTCAGAGCTCATCGTGATGAAGTCCATGAAGCTGTCGATGACGTCCACGATGAGAAGTTCGGAATGCCGTCGAGGAAGAGCCGCAGCGTCGACGAGCGGAAGTAGCAAAACTGATGTGGATGGAGTACTGAGAAGTCAAAGACGTGGGAAGGTAAGTCAGAGTCAATCGTCGTATCGAGCAGGACGACGACGAGTGCACTGTGGACGCTCAGAAGCATCCGGCTGCTACTGAAGGTCTGCCTCAGATGGAGCAGGCTCAACTTCAACGGTCTCCTCAGCCGGAGGAGAAGGAGGGGGGTCAGTAGGCTGAGGAGGAGCAGTGAACCCAGCACGACGAGCACGGTCATAGGCACGCACCAACATGCGAGCGTGCTCCAAGTGCTCGAGGGGCTCCCAGGTAGCCTCCTCATCAGGGTAACCCTTCCAACGTACGAGATACTCGACGTGGGGAGGGTTGTCGTCGGTGACTCGGCGACCAATGATGTCTGAAACGAGGAACTCCTCGTGGCCGTCCACCATGATGGGTGGAGGGCGCTCGTATGGTCGTCCAGCGAAACGCTCAGACGGTCTGCGGTAAGGACGCAGTAACGAGACGTGGTAGACATCATGCACACGAGTCTGGCGTAGGTAGTCGGGCAGCTGCACACGAAAGCTGACTGGGCTAGATGCCGTATCAGAACCGACGGCCTGGAGGATGCGGCATGGGCCAAAGAATCGACGCCGAAACTTGCGAAGAGTATCCGCTTCGAGCTGTAAGTGGCGGGCGTCGATAAACACATCATCACCAACCTTGAATGGGTGATCCATCCTCGATCGGTTCGCACGTGCTGCCATGCGAGTCTGGGAAGCGGTTATGTGCTCATGTGCGGTCTTCATAATCGACGTCATGTATGCAACCCAATCATCCAGCGCGGGACAACTCCTGTCGGGGTGCATCTGGGACGGTCGAAGGAAGTCCGCGGGAACACGCAGGTGATAGCTGAGGTCGCAATAGTAAGGCGACATCCCCGTGGCTGGCGAGACGCCGTGGTTGTTGGCTATCTCCGCCTGGGCAAGATGGAGATCCCACTGCTGGTCGTCACGAACAATCTTTCGGAGGATATCTCCGAGAGTCCTGTTCGTGATCTCGGTCTGACCATCAGTCTGAGGATGGTAAGACGAGGAGAAGCGGAGCTGAGTGCCGTACACCTCGTGGAGTCGTCACCAAAATCGGCTGGTAAAGCGCGGGTCACAGTCAGATATGATGCTCAGAGGTAAGCCGTGGTCACGCACGACTCGGTCAAATACGATGTCGGCAACCTCACGTGCATTGATGGCATAGCGGCACGGAACAAAGCGTGCACGCTTCGTGAAGCGGTCGACGACGACCAGGATAGCATCATGACCGCGGGGGGTCGGAGTCGGAGAGGAGCGATAAAGTCCATCGAGATGGACTGCCAACGACCCTCAGGGATAGGAAGAGGCTGGAGCAAACCATAAGGTAGGTGGTTCGCACTGTTCACCTCCTGACAGGTGGGACACTCTGCGACGTAGTCCTTCACAAAGTCCATGCGCTTCGGCCAGACGTACAGGCGGCTCACACGAGCCAACGTCTTGTGGAAGCCCATATGACCAGCAACTGCCTGGTCATGGAACTCTGCTACTGCTCGGACACGTAGTTGTCCAGTGGAGGGAACACAAATACGGGGCTCTCTGGTGCCCTGTGAACCGTGTCAGTACACAAGATCGTTATCCCCGAGAGAGTAGTTTGAGACGGTCTTGCCACTCTGAAGGGTCGCGCGGATGTCGCGATAGTCGAGGCAGTGGCGGTATTGAGTGCGAAGCTCGTCGATCACCGAGTGGTGGACGGTGATGACCAAGATGGAAGAGAGCTGGATGTGCTCCTGGTCATGGTCAGGGCGCCTGGATAGGGCATCTGCGACCCGATTAGTCTCACCCTTGATGTGCTCAGTGGTGAAACTAAACTCGGATAGGTCGCGCCACCAGCGAGCCTATCGAGGAGTGAGCTTCGACTTTGTCAGAAAAGCCTGGACAACAGAGTTGTCTGTGCGCACCGTGAATGGTGCCCCGTGCAGGTAGTGACGCCAGTGTCGAGCATCATAAACGACTGCGAGAACCTCACGTTCATCAGCAGTGTAGTTTATCTCGGCGGGCAGGAGTTGACGGGAGTAGAAGGTTATCGGACAATCACCTGAGCGAGACTCGACAGTGCCGTCCTCGGCAATGGTAGGAGAATAGTCAATAGAAGGCTCGTCAGTAGCTGGACGAGTAGGCGTCAGTCGGGAAGCAGTGGTAGGGGTAGGTGGTGGGAAGCGAGGGAAACGAGGATGAGAGGAATCAGGAGATGAGGGGGAGACCTGAGAAAGCACTGCTCCTACAGCGAAGTCTGACGCATCGGTGGTAAGGATAAAAGGGCGGTCAAAATCGGGTAGGTGAAGAACCAGTGCGCATGTGACCGCCTTCTTGAGGGCGCGGAAGGCGTCCTCGTGGAGGGGTGTCCAAACCCAGGGTGGGTTCTTCCGGAGGAGGGTGGAGGTAAGGATGTAGGAATACCTAGCGTATCCCCGGATGAAGTTACTATAGTAGCTGGTCAGGCCTAGGAAGCTGCGAAGCTGTTTGGCGGATGTGGGAGCGGGCCACTCCGCAATAATAGTGATCTTCGCGTCGTCCATGTGGAGACCCTGGTCAGACACGTAGTGTCCTAAGAAATCCACTTTGTGCTGGGCAAAGCGGCACTTGCTTAGCTTGGTGTAGAAGCCATGTCTACGCAAGCGGTCAAGGACGTCGCGAAGGTGTCTGAGGTGCTCCTCAAGGGTACGACTATAGACCAGGATATCGTCGAGATAGACGAGAACGTACTGCTCCAGGAAGTCCCTGAAGATGTCGTTCATCGCCCTCAGGAAGGTAGCGGGTGCGTTGGTGAGGCCGAATGGCATCACCGTGAACTCGTAGTGGCCGAATCACGATCGGAACGCGGTCTTCGGCTGGTCGGCTGCAGCGACGCGGATCTGATGGTAACCGCTACGAAGATCAATCTTCGTAAAGAAGCGGTTGCCTGCTAGGCGGT